GAGGACACTGCCTCCATATATGCCCAAACTCTCCACACTCATAGCAGTTCCCCGGTGCTGGAGACTGGGACTGAAGGGAACCCCTCGCGCCGGAGTGACTAGCTGATGCACTTGGCCTGGAAGAACCCTGGCCGACGGGGCACGAGATGAACTCTGTGCTGGAAGAGCGCTGAGTGAAGGCTGACTCTGCGGAGAACCATGATAACCACGACCTGAAGATGCCCCACGATACTCGGGAAGAACCGACTGAGCGGGCCAGAATGAACGACCCCGTCCCTGCTGGAATTGGCCCCTCGAAGGAGCGCTACTGTAACTACCAGAACTTCGAGGCCTCTTGGCCTCCCTCTCCTCTCGATCCTGACGGCGAACCGCCTCAATCTCTCGAGCTATATCGACCACCTCCTCGAATGAAGCACCCAGTACTCTTTCTCTAGTCATAAGAACACGGAGATGGTAGTTGATACCATCAACAAACCTCCGGATACGCTCACGATCAGTTGGAACCAGCCAAACTGCATGACGAGCCAACTCTGAAAATCTTATCTCGTACTGAGACACTGTCATATCTCCCTGCCGTAGCCACTCAAACTATCTGTGCAGCTCCTCTCTGCGCGACTGCGGTACATACTTCTCTAAGAAGAGAGTGGAGAACTCCTGCCAAGTCAAAGGTGCTGCACTGGTCGGCCTACGCCTCTCATACGCCTCCCACCAAGTGAAGGCAGCCCCAGTGAACTGAAAAGTAGTAAAAGCCACACCACTGGACTCAAGAATCCCTGCTGTACGAAGCATCCGCTGACATCTATCGAGAAAACCCTGGGCATCCTCGCCCTCAGCACCACTGAAAGTCGGAGGCTGGAGTCTACCAAACCTCTCAAGACGACGCTGCTCATCCTCGGGCATAGCTGGAACCCTGAACTCCTGCACTGGTGCAACTGGATGAGCTAGAGGTGCCTCTAGAGTTTGTAGTTCCTGCACTCCTTGCTCAGGTGTGCGAGCAGCGGGGGTCTGATTTCCTCCCCCGACCTGTGAAGTAGCTGTTGCTGCTGTAATGGGTGAAACCACCAGAGCCAGGCCCGTGCACACTGTCAATATCTGAGCTAATGTCTCCTGAAGGCCAGGAATCACTATGGGCATAGCTGGTGCCTGGACTGGTACTGCTGGGGCCTGATCCGGAACTGGGGCAGCTGATACCAACTTGTCACGACCCAATTCCAAAACCTGATCGTGATGGCGCCTCTCGTGGAGACAAGGCCAGCCAGAACAACGCAACACCTCTTTCAAAGCAATTAATTAATATTAATAGTTCTAACGCATGCTTAATTTAGTCATTAATACGGAATCAGCGATAAAACAAAGGAAAACCATCCCGACATAGCCCAAACCGGGGTGTCACAAGTCATGAGCTACTACAGAGTTTACTATCAGTAAACAAAGAGTAATATCCGATACAGTAGTCTGATGAAAACATAAATGATATAAGATAGGGGAGACAAGGGGCTGCAGACGTCAACAACTACCTTGTATCTCCAAATCGCTGCCTGGTCTGGAAGGAATCAGCGCTCAGGTGCGCACTCTGCTATGCCTGAATCTGCACACATGGTGCAGGGAGTAATGTGAGTACTCCGACCCAGTGAGTAATAATAATAAATAATAACCGAAGGCATGAAAATACATAACTGCACAAAGCAATTCTATATCAGGTAGTCAAAACAGTAAAACAATGGAACAGTAAAGAGTCGAATGAAATCTCCTTTTAAAATCAGGTAAATCAGGTAAAACAACAAGTAAATAGTGAGTAGGAATCTGCCCCTCGAGCCCAGTATCAATCGCTCAGAACAGTATCAGCCCCTCGGGCTCAGTATCAACCACTCAACATAATATCAGCCCCTCGGGCTCACTCTAATATCACATGGGTACCCGCGCTCACTGTGGGTGTGCAGACTCCGGAGGGGCCCCTTATGGCCTAAGCGCTATATCATCACAAGGCCTGAAAGCCTTCTCACATCACACTCGAGGACTGAAAGCCTCCTCACCATCACTCGAGGCCTGAAAGCCTCCTCACAATACACTCGAGGCCTGAAAGCCTCCTTACAACACTCGAGGCCTGAAAGCCTCCTCACATCACGCTCAAGGCCTGAAAGCCTCACTCAGTCCAGAACATCATAACCCCTCGGGCAACAATAACATAATAGGTCTCAGCCCAAACAACAGTAAAATATCCTTTAAATTCTCAGGAGTTTCAATTAAAGAGGCCGAGTTTGCAAAACAGTATAATCATTAGGACTGAGTTCAAATAACGTATCAAGTAGTGAGGAAATAGTGAAAACAATCCCCGAAGGATTCAAATAATCGGCGTTAAGCCCAAAACATACTGATAAACAAAACAGCTTAGTCAAATACGCGGTAAAATATCAAGCGGGACGGACCAAGTCGCAAATCCCCAGTAGTAACAACCCCGCGCTCACCATTAGGCGCGTGTTTCACCTCAATATAGCATTACGTTGTGCAAATCCGGGGTTTCAAACCCTCAGGATATCATTTACTATCATTACTCACCTCAAGCCAGCCAAAATCCTAGCTCGCTATCCCCTTTCCTAGCGAATCAATCTCCTCGTGCGTAGAATCTAATCAAAGCCACAAGGAATACGTTACAATAGGCTAAGGGAACACAACCCAATCGAAAAGACTCGAAAAATATCGAAATTCACGAAGTTGGCAAAACCCGAGTCCCGGGCCCACTCCTCGAAAAATCAGAAAATTGACATCACTGGATTCCTTATCTCGCCACGAGTCTATACATATCAAATTTCTAAAATCGGAGTCCATTTGACCCCTCAAATTCCACTTTGAAATACCAAATTTCCAAGCCCTAGCTTTACCCTCTTTTGATGAATTTCCACAAATTTCAATGTAGATTCTACCATTAATTCATGTTTTTAGGTCAAGGAACTCACCTCCAATCACACCTAGTCGAATTCCCCTTCAAATCCCGTCCAAGAGCTCTCAAGGTTGCTTAAAAATGGTGGAAATGGACTTAAGCTTGCGGAACAAAATGAGCTTTAAAACCCTTCTGATAACAGTGATTTTCGCATCTGCGGTTCCTGTACCGCATCTGCAACTACCGCTTCTGCGGTTTTTCATCCGCTTCTGCGAAACTCCCAAACTCGCCCAGGACCGCTTCTGCGGTCAGGTATCTGCATTTGCGGACACCGCATTTGCGCTCCATGTCCCTTCTGCGGAAAATGCCATTCTATCAACTCCCGCTTCTGCGATCGCTCTACCGCATCTGCGCTACCGCAGATGCGGCTCGAATCCCGCACCTGCGGTAACAGCAAACTTCCTCAAGACTCGCATCTGCGTCCAATCCCTCGCATCTGCGGAACCGCATATGCGGCCCTTCTTCCGTAGATGCGGAAACACCAGATACCAGCCGAACCAGCAATTTCACCAAGTCTAAATCATCCCGATGACCATCCGAAATCACCCCGAGGCCCCCGGGACCTCAACCAAGAGTGCCAGCCCATCCTAAAACATCATTCAAACTTGCTCCAATCATCAAAACACCACAATTAACACCAAAACCATCAAATTACATCGGATTCAAGCTTAAGTTCTTCTAAAACTTCCGAATTACGCATTTGATCAAAAACCCGACCAAAACACCTCCGAATGATCTGAAATTTTGCACACACATCCAAAATCACCTAATGAAGCTAAAGCAACTCTCGGAATCACATTCCGACCCTCGGATCAAATTCTCACCTATCAACCGGAATTCGCCAAAATACTAACTTCGCCAATTCAAGCCTAATTCTACACCGGACCTCCAATATCAATTCCGATCACACTCCTAAGTCACAAATCCTCCCCCGAAGCTAACCAAATCACCGAAAACCACATCCGAGCAATCTAACTCATAGGTCAACATCCGGTTGACTTTTCCAAAACAAGCCTTCCTTAAAGAGACTAAGTGTCTCATTTCCTAACAAAACCAATCCAAATCAACTCGATCACATCAAATACCGACAATGAAGCATAGAGAAACATAAGATGGGGGAAACAGGACGGTAACTCACGTGACGACGGGCCGGATTGTCACATCTACAATGGTATGTAGATAGGGATGATGAAGTGAAAAAAGTTGTGCTACAAATTGCTCCACAAAATAACATGATGATTGCTCCAAATATCCAAAAAGAGATCGTGAATGCTTGTGCGAAATAAATAATGAAAGCAATAGTTGAAGATTTGAATGGAGATTATTTTGAAATTTTGGTTGATGAATCTAAGGACGTCTCTCATAAGGAACAATTGGCTCTTGTTCTGCGGTATGTCAACAAAGAGGGCAAACTTATTGAGCGATTCCTTAGTATTGTTCATGTTAAAAAAACAACTTCATCGTCATTGCAAAAAGCAATCTATGATTTGCTTTTAGAGCACTCATTGAGTCCATCTCAAATACAGGGACAAGGTTATGATGGAGCTAGTAACATGCAAGGAGAAATCAAAGGTCTTAAAACTTTAATTCTGAAAGATAATCCTTCGGCGTATTGTATGCATTGCTTTGCCCATCAATTGCAATTGACTCTTGTAGCTGTTACAAAAAAACATTGTGATGTAGATCAATTTTTTGATATTGTTGCTAATGTCTTGAATATTGTTGGAAGTTCTTTTAAGCGTAGGGATATGCTTCGAGAGGATCAGGCAAAAAAATTAGAGGAGCTACAAGTGCTTGGTGAAGTTCATACAGGAAGTGGACTAATCAAGAACTTGGACTCCAAAGGCCAGGTGATACTCGATGGGGTTCTCATTTTAAGGCAGTGCGTAACTTTATTATATTATTCTCGTCTATCATTAATGTACTTGAGTTTCTTGCAAGTGAGGGTGCAAATTATCTAGAGAGATCAGTGGCAAAAAGTTTAGTGAATGACATAAGATCTTAAGTTTGTGCATATGATACACTTGATGTTAAAATTATTGGCAATTACAAATATTTGAATATGGCTTTGCAAAGAAAAGATCAGGATATTCTAAATGTTGTGAAGCTTGTTGGTTTCGCCAAGAGGCAATTGCAAGGGATGAGAGAATCTAAATGGGAATCTTTGATAGATGATGCCTCTTCATTTTGTGCCAAGCATGATATTGTGATCCCTGAAATGGATAAGAACTATAATCTCGGAAAGTCAAAGCGTAGGAGTTCAAGTGTTACATATTCTCATCATTTGCGTGTCGAAGTTTTTAATACTGTTATTGATTTGCAACTTTTAGAGCTTAACAGTCGTTTTGATGCGGTGAATAGTAATCTACTTCTTGGTATGGCTAGTTTGAGTCCGGATGATTCTTTTGCAAATTATGATAAAGAAAGAATTATGAAACTTGCTACACTTTATCCTCATGAGTTTAGTGGTTCAAAGCTTGAAGATCTCAGTTACGAGCTTGACAACTATATTTTCTTTGTGAAAGAAGACAACGATTTCTCTAACTTGAAAGGACTTGGAGATCTTTCAGAAACACTAGTTGAAACAGATTTGTACAAGAATTGGAGACTTGTTTTTCTGCTTGTGAAGTTAAGTCTGATATTTCCCGTCGCTACTGCAACGGTAGAAAGAGCTTTTTCTTCAATGAAGTACATCAAAAATGACTTGCGTAGCAGAATTGGTGATGAGTTTTTGAATGACTGTTTAGTTTGTTATACAGAAGATGAAGTATTTGAAAGTGTACCTAATGATGCGATTTTTGATCATTTTCAAAGCATGACAACCCGTAGGGTACAATTGTAATGGTGATATTTATTGAATATATATTATGTTAGATGGTTCGACACTTGCTACATATATATATATTTCGCTTGGTTATTATTGTATAACAACTTGAGGTATGTGCTAGAGTTCTAAATCTTGAACCCATAAAGTTAAATTCCTGGATCCGCCTCTGTGTGATGTCATATGTATTTTTTTATAATTCATTCTTTTTTGAGTAGTGAACTGGAGTGTTAGGTTTTCAGTCTCTCCCACGTTTATGTTCACTCGTTAGTGTCGATATTGTTTATATTGATAAAAACAAGGCAAAAAACTTGCACACATAACCATATACATATTTTTTGTCCCAGTTTGTTTGATTGCAAACAAGTTTATTTTATCATGATTTTTTATATGCTTTTTAAATATTTTACTTTCAAATATATAAATTTTATTTTAAACAAATTAAAGATTTTGAGTTCGAATTGGCGGTCAAAATTAAAAAAATTTAACTCTCAAAATCCAAAGAGCATCAAACAAAATTGGGACAGAGGAAGTATACTTAATAAGTAGTTAGTTAGTGCTCTTACATAATCTGAAACAACAAATATAAGATATGATGATAATCTATCGCTAGTCAAGTAACTTGAAAAAGAAGTTCCTACATTCTTAACTTTTCAAAAATGAGATTTTAGTTCATTAGAAGTACTTTACTAGTATAGAATATATAAAAAATGAGTAATCTTGCTTGAATTAACTTGAGTAGCATTTTTAAGTGACCACTCGATAAATTAAGTAGTTGTCTTCCTACTGCCATATCAGAGAGATTGATATCTTGTGATCACTAACTAAGTCACAATAATTAATTGTGATGACCCAAAGGGTCATCTTTTGGTTTAGAATCTGATTTTGTGTTTCGAGGCCATAAAAACCTCCATTTATCTTTCCTAGATTTGCGTGCACAGTCCGGGCGTGTATCCGAAAAGCTTTTATGTGAAACATTTAAGAAAAGATGATTTTTGGCTTAAAAAGATGATTTTTGTTGACTTTGGTCAACGTTTTCGGTAAACGGACCCGGACCCGTGTTCCGACTGTCCCAGAGTGTCTGTAGTAAAATATGGGACGTGGGCGTATGCTCGAAATCGAATTCCGAAGAAATAAATTTTTAAAAAAATTGATAAGACTGAAATTGAGATGATTTAAATGATTTGATCTCATGGGTATCGGGCCCGTATTCTGGTTTCCGAGCCTGGTACAGGTCCGTTATAATAGTTAAACCTTATTTGTGAAATTTGGTGACAAACGGAAATAATTTGACGTGATTCGGACCATTGGTTGAGAAAATAGGAAGTTTGAAAGTATCTTAAAAATTTCATGTTTTTTGGTGTTGAATTCGTAGTTTTAGGAGTTATTTTGGCGATTTAATCGCATGAGCAAGTTCGTATGATATTTTAAGACTTGTGTGCATGATTGGTTTGGAGCCCCGAGGGCTCGGGTGAGTTTTGGATAGGCTATGAAGTGTTTGAGACTTAAGAAACTGTTGGTATGTCCAGGTCTGCACTTCGCAATTGCGGAGTCTGCCTCGCAAATGCGAGCATCGCATTTGCAAAGAATCTTCAATAGGCTGGGAAGGGACCTTCGCATTTGCGAAGTTCATTGTCGCAATTGCGACTTGAATAGTGGCCGCATTTGCGAACAATTATTCGCATTTGAGAAAACAACAGGTCAGGCCAAGCTTCGCATTTGCGAAGTATTGGTCGCATTTGCGAACCTGTGATCGCAAATGCGATAACTGCAGCTATTCAAAATGAGTTTTGGTCCGGATTTTTGATTAATTTCTCAAATTTTCAAACCCTAAACTTCACGAGGCGATTTTCCTAGAGCAAGTTCTTCCTCAAATCTTAGGTAAATGATTCTTAACTTATTTCTTTCAATCTATTTCAACTTTTTACAAGATTTCATCTTAGAATCTAGGGTTTTTCATGATGGGATTGAGTGTTTTTGGGAAGAACCTAGGAATTTTAAAATTTGGGGATTTGGACCTCAATTCGAGGTCGGATTCCAAAACCAATTGTATATCCGGGCTCGGGGGTGAATGGATAATCGGGTTTTGGTGTGAATTTCGAGTTTTGACCAAGCGGGCCCGGGGTCGGTTTTTGACTTTTTAGGAAAAAGGATGGAAAGTCTATAATTTTGCATGGGAATTGGTTTCTTTAGCATTTATTGATGTTATAAAGTTACATATGGCTAGATACGAGTGGATTGGCGGTGGAATCAAGAGGTAAAGCGGTGTTTGAGCTGTGAATTATCCGTTGGCCTGAGGTAAGTGTTTGGTCTAACCTTGACTTGAGGGATTAGGGATACCTGACTTGCTTGCTATGTGAAATACCATATGCGTGGCATATAGGTGTGGTGACGAGCACCTATGAGTTGCCAAATTACCTGTTTAGCCTGTTACCTTTCCCCGTTTCCCTATATGTTGCTTTCCTGTCTTAATTGCTACTTGCTTATTGATGCTTCCATGCCTAATTTCTTTTTGTTAAATGTTATTTCTCTATTGGTGTTGTTAATTGTTCCATAGTTCCATTATATCACACTGTTGGCTTATGTTGGTTTATTGGTGCTTAATGGCGCACTTTGGTTGGTTTTGATGTGTAGTTTTTAGCTGGTGAAGTTTCATAATTGTAGTGATATTCCATTGTGTTAGTTTTAGGTAAAAGTGTTGTGGAGGGTTTGAGTTAACTGGTTAAACACTTGTCTTTTATTTTGTGATTGGTGCTGATATATATATTGGGATTGGGTTGCACGCCGCAACAAGGAGCAATAAGGGTGGACAGGTGGGATCGGGTTGCACACCGCAACAGGAGGAATAATGGTGATATATTGAGGAGTAATAAGGGTGGACTGGTGGATCGGGTTGCACGCCACAACAAGGAGTAATATGGGTGAATATGTATACCGTTATTGATTATATGTTGGGATCGGGATGCGCGCCGCATCAATTGTTGTATTTGTATTCATTTCTGCTGTGGTTCATTATTGTGGCGTTGAAACTCCCTTAAGGATTGGTTATAGCTGAGTATTGGTAGAATGACCGGGTTCCGTAATTATTTAATGCAAGTTACTGTATATTTCATTATGTATTTCCTTTCCGTTTTAGTATAAGCTGTTGGAGGTTAAATATGTTGCTATGCCCCGACGTAGCCTCGTCACTACTTCGTCGAGGTTAGGCTCCGCACTTACCAGTACATGGGGTCGGTTCTACTGATAATGCACTCTGCACTTTTTGTGCAGATTTCGGAGCTAGTAACTGATCAAGAGGTTGGTTGTTGTCACTGCCTTTATGAGACCCAAGGTAGTCTTGCAGGCGTCCGCAGGCCCTGGCGTCCCCTCCTATCTTTACTTCATTTTTGTTTTACTTTCTTCGAGACAGATGTATTTTTCTTTCAAACCATTACTTGTAGTATTTGTAGATTGTTCGTGAGTTGTGACACCAGTTTCTGGGTGGTATCTATTTCTGCATTCGTTATTAGTATAAGGTAATTTGTTAAATCACGTACTTTCGCTTTTATTTCTGCTGATTTAGTTCATGTTAAATTTTAATTATAAAAATGATAAAGCAAAATGGTGTAATATTCTGTAACGTTGGCTTGCCTAGCGAGTGCAATATTAGGTGCCATCACGGTCCCGAAGGTGGGAAATTTGGATCGTGACAAGTTGGTATCAGAGCACTAGGTTGCCTACGTCTCACGATTCACGAACAAGCTTGGTAGAGTCTGAGGGATCGGTACGGAGACGTCTGTGCTTATCCCCCAAAGGCTACTGAGTTAGGAACAATTTCACTTCTATTCATCTCTGTCGTGTGGTTTGATCTCTCAATGCTAATTGAACTTCTACTCTGTTCTTTCGCAAATGGCGAGAACACGTATCCTTCATCAGCTGATCAGCAGCCGGAGCCCCCAGTGGCAGCTCCTACGAGGGGCAGAGGACAAGGCCGAGCTAGAGGCCGAGGCAGGGGCAGGGCTCAGCCCAGAACTCGAGCAGCAACACCAGCGACGGAGCCTCAGGTTGATTTTTATGCTGAGGTTCCGGCCCAGACCGTTCCAGCGGGCCCAGCTCAGGTTCCAGAGGGGTTCATAGCTACCCCAGTACTTCAGGATGCTTTGGTCCGTCTAGTGGGCCTCATGGAGAGTGTTACTCAGGCCGGCATACTTCCTATAGCACCAGCCATCTCTCGGGCTGGGGAGGAGCACAGACTCCCGCTACTCACACTCCGGAGTAGATGGCTCCCTAGTTTCAGACTCCAGCAGCACAGCCACTTAGGGTAGTCCCGCCATGAGTTATAGCACAGACCGGTGATGGATCAGCTATGTCTTCGGATACTTTGTGGAGGTTGGACAGGTTCACCAAGCTTTTCACTATGACCTATAGCGGTACATCTTCAGAGGATCCCCAGGACTATTTTGACAGTTGCCATGAGGTTCTACGGAACATGGGGATAGTGGAGACCAATGGGGTCGACTTTGCTGCTTTTCGTTTGGCTAGACCAGCTGTGTCACCAGCTCTCACTTGGGACCAGTTCTCGCAGCTATTCTTGGAGAAGTATCTTCCTATTACTCAGAGAGAAGACTATCGGAGGCCGTTTGAGCGCCTTCAGCAGGGTTCTATGACCGTCACTCAGTACGAGACCAGATTTGTGGACTTGGCCCGTCATGCTCTTCTTATACTTCCTATCGAGTGAGAGAGGGTGAGGAGGTTTATTGAGGGACTTGCTCAGCCTATCAGATTGCAGATGGCTACGGAGACAGGGAGTGAGATTTCTTTCCGGGATGCAGCCAATGTGGCCAGGCGAGTCGAGATGGTTTTAGCTCAGGGGTCTGACAAGAGGCCTCGTCACTCCGGTGGATTCAGTGGGACCTCATCTGGAGGTCGAGGTACTTTTGGTAGAGGCCATCATCCCATGCCGTTTCATTCAGCGCTTCAGGCATCCTATGGAGCTTCAGGGAGTCGTGGTCCTTATGTACCTCTTTCAGGGCAACCAA